CGCCAGCTCTGTGGTAACCGCCACGCACTCCTCCCTCCGGTTAATTTTAGGGGCCTTAGCCATGATCCAAAAGGCCTCTAAGGTTCGCCGCGCCGCAATATCAGGTTCACGTGATAATATCGTGACCGCCACCTCGAACCTCATGTTCCCATGACATCGTACCCTATGTTCTCCTAAAGGAGTCGCTGTTCTCGACTTTTGCATGCCATCCAGGTGCTCCTTTAATCTGATGCAAAGAGGTCTGCCTGTTTCCCCAATATATTCCTCTTTACACTGAAGACACGATATTAAGTATACAACACCGGATGTCATGCAGTCTCCTTCCTTACCGTATGGGCATATGACACACGAAGGCGTTGGGCACAGGCGGTCATACAGGCGATTTCGTACCAATCGTTGTTTTAGATTCGAGGGTGGGATGTCCACGACTCTCACCATCTCCTGAAGACCTGCCTTTTTCACACATGATCGTATAGCCGCACTCAAATCGTCTGATATGAACGGGACACAAAATGGAACTTTTGTTTCCTCTCCCTCGTGACGATTGAGAGCGACCGCCCTTCGCCTGTGAAATTCAATAGCTTGCTTCCAATGTTTTCCTTTCACTTGCTTATTGATCTCAATAAAAGTGTCGATGTTTGAAGTAGGCTCATAATTTTGTGAGACTTGGAAAACCTGTGTGAAAATGAAGTATATCTGATCATTTTATGGACCATTCGGTTTATAGCTTTGTTACTGTTTGATCTATAATATAAACACAAAAAACATATGAATAAATCACGTGTGCGCAAAAAAGAACTGAGAAATGAGCGCGGGACACATGTGTCCCGCGTTGTCCCACGTGGCTTGCGAAACGCGGGACATACATGTCCCGCGCTGTCGTCAACGTGTTAATATCGATCCCTTTCTAAACATGCTGATGACTCACAGGAAACTGACTTTAGCAGCGCTCAGCACAACCCTTGTCTTTGCCGCTCACTTACTTAGGCGGTCCCATTATCTGTACCTACATAATTTCATTTGCTAAGGCAGCCATTTGCACTATTTGCAAAGGAATATGGCGCCTATTTGGCTGCTGCGTTACTGGTCTCAAATCTAAGGATTCAATTGCCTTAAGAGTAGTTTCCTAGTCTACAATACCTCCCCGGCACTTTCGCGCCGACGCTCCAAAAGAGATGTCATTGTAATCGGAGGACTTCTCAAACTCCGTGTGCTAGGGAGATTCACTGACGCTGCCTTATTAACCTATTATTCAGCGCGGGTTTACAAAACGGCGTCAATACGGCTGTATAATCGATATTTTCATTCTTTCAATCTCACCGGTACATACCTGTATATAGCCTCAACATCATTTATGAACACGTGTAACCTTGTAACTAGTAAGCATCCCACAGTACTACGGCTACAGTACTCCCAAAACACACATTTGTTCACTCACGGCCCAATCTGCCAACGGCAGTAAACGCCGCCACATCTGAAGGGCCCTCCAACAGACGGTCTGCACAAGCACTCTTGGAGAGAGAAAATAACCATAAAGTGGCTCAAAAAGGGACTTTATGACAATGCACAATTTTTATATACCCCTAAAGCGAATTTTAGGAGGCGTGTCGAGAATACATGCAGAAAAATCGCGTATATAAGGAGGATGGAATTAAGCAGGGCATCATCAACATGTCGTTCGCCT